CTTCCTCCTATTCTCAGAGGTCAGTGTCGCCCAATTTACCACCCAGAAGATTGACTATGTGCCTTGCAAAAGTGTAGGTAGGTGTAAAACAGATGGATTAAAAGTCAAGTAGTCAAAAAGCAGATGGACAGCTGATGGATTCCTTCCATCTGTCTGAGGAATTTAATTTTTATTTCAACTAAAGGGTATCTATCTCAGTTTGATTGCCACCACTATACTGCCATATGAGAAAGGTCGAACAGGTAACGCTCACATGTTTAAAACTATGATAAACCCAGCTCATATAGTACATTTGGTACAGGACAAAAGATGCAATATTAGTGTTAGGAAAATTTCAAAAAGATAATTGACTACATGGTGCAGATGCAGTCTACTTTCTAAAAGTTATATGACGTCGCAAAACACCACAGAAAGGAAGATTGAAAATATTAATACTGAAAACTTCATCTGTGTAATCGCTGAACTGAACACAGAAAACAATGCAGCGGAGGCGCCTATCGCTTCGTAAATGAAGGCATTAAAGAATATATTTCAGTCGAATTGTGGAGAAGAAGGATGGCATCAGTGTGTATTTGAGTGCTCGGATGGTCTTGGTGTGAGAAAACCATAAGTCTTTATTGGCGGGATAATTAATTGTAGTACCTGGTAAAATCCTTCACCTATACTTTTGGTCCCTTCACAACTTCTTGAGTACAACTAACGCAAGTGCTTATTCTGAAATGCCATTAATAGGACAGTCATATTCTGGTAGAAAAATGTGGAAATGTTAAAATTTAGAGATTCGAAAGACCATTGTTTCTGAAACTATTTTGTAACCAACACCCTTACCAAAAGAATCACCTGAATCACCGCCTGATAGCGCATTTCGTAATAGAAGGCGAAGATTTACTTTGGACGTGTATTTCGTAAACATTCTGGAGGATTCATGAAGCGGGGAAACCTAGGCAAACAAACGGGAACACATTCATCATTTAATACAGTCTGTGAAGAGCGAAACTGGTTCGTTGTATTCTGAATGCAGAAAACAGATCTCTGCGTCCTGTATAGTTGGCAAGACTTCCTTGAGAAATGAGCAGTCACCAAACCCTCCAAAGACAGAAAAGTGACGATTATTGCTGAATAATTTTGCGGTTCTACTAAAGAACAGTGATATCAAGAAACTGAAAATTACCTCAAAAAGGCCATTAGGTGCCTAGCAGTTCAGTCTAAGTACGAGACGGGGACTAGAGAGCAAGCGGAATCACATAACATCAAGGGATTTTTCAAACGGTTTTCCCGTCTTAGAGTTCGATGGACAAAGAGAAATTTATCTATCATGGAAAGGCATATTTCCTACTTGGTCAACCATCTAGCCTATCTAAATTCCTCAGTGACTAACCTCCTCTGAATGACCATAATGCTCACCGCGTGTTCTATTTTGTAGATTCCTTACGTGTCCGCCGGTTTACTGACAGATCAAAATAGATTCCTCGCTATGTAGGGCGGATGATATCAAGGTGTGAATGCACCATTTAAATTCATGCGGGAATCAGGAAAACTGAGGTTAGCAGGAAAGTGAGTACAGAGAAGTGATAGTGTCACCATATTAGATCTAAATGTGCGCTTATATGGTCCCTTCATCTACCCATATTATACGTTTCCAGAAACTGGTCTCACGTTTGCTTGTCGGATACTTGCCAGTGTATTAGTGAACATTGGTTTTTGTTTGTTATAAATATACATCTATTGTGGGGTTCCGCACGCCTACCTTCGCCGCATGCTCTTCTAAGTTTGATGTCGGCAATAATCCGTCTTTGCAAATTTTTACGTGTGTTTCTTGACACTTTGTTTGATATTTATCGTTTTGTCTTTCATTCATTGGGAGAAACAAAAACCTTTATTATAAGGGATCATATTTTATTATTATTATTCCCGTGGGTTCGGAGGGGAACATAGGGCTTCGACAACACACCTGTCGGACTGGACTTTGATGTTAAAAATCCAAATCTTGTTTTTTTGTGATGCTATTGAAGACAGCTGTTGGTAAAAGTCCACGGTAGCCTGTTCGAAATCACTCATATGATGCTTTTGCCATGCTCCTGAACCATATTGAAGAAGTAGCCTGACATTACCGTTGATAATCCTAATGTCATTCCATGCGCTAAGTGCAGAAGAGTTCCTTTTGGGAGTGATGAGGGTGTGCATTGCCTTTCCGAATTTGGCTCGCTCTGACATCTTTATCCGTTCCTCTGACTATGGTTCAAACCATCCCTCTTAGATAGGTGAAGGAAGTAGCCTTTCTCCGGTTGGTAGCGATTGGTGCTGCTTGTTGTTGCTGTTGCTATTGGTTGGTTGCTTATCTTCGTCACGTCCTTCTCCACCTTCTGCATGTTACTCTGGAGTCCTGCCTTCACCACCTGCTTCTTCCGGCAGTTTATTGTTTTTCTCCTGCAAGTATTCTAGTTTGTGTGACATTAAACATAAATAAACCACGAAAGAAATGTAGATATTCCGGCGAGAGTCCCAACAGCGGCGCGGCCACATCTGCTCCCCTTCTCGACTTTGTATCCAGCAGGCAGGCTGCGCCTCCACTTCCTCGAGCATCATTGAGATCACGTCTGCCTGGTTTTTGGTGTCTTTTAGGCGAAATCCATGCTGTTTTGTGTATATTCCTGTGCTTGTACACACTGCCTCCGATCATCAAATCATTGAATGCACGGAAGTCGGCGAATAATTCTCCGTCCTCACTCATTTCTGCGAGGGCCTGTCAACCCATGATGAGTTCTCTTCCTGTATTATCTGCTTCCAGTTTGCCTTGAATTCATATCTCTCGTGAGGATTTTAATGTCTCCATTCGGGATGCTGTTCATTACTGTATGTAGTATGACTATGAGCAATAGTTTGCGCTCGGAACGTCATTAGTTAATATTACTGTATAACACTGCGTGATTTATCAAAATAAAATCTTATCCATAATGGAGCTGTGTGTATTTTTCTATAGAAATCTTCCTTCTTCTCTTGTTCAGCATTGGTTTTATCACTGTGAATAGCACTGCATGATAATTGTAACCTTCCCTCCTTTTGAGTTGAATCTTGCTGTCATGATCCTGGACGAGACTCGTTCCCACTGCATTAGGGCTCTGCCTGCCACTGGTGATATTATTACAGTCACTCACCTCTTTGGTTTGCTCGTAGTTGTCATCTGGGTGAATGGAGTAGATTACTGACTCTACAGTTGACAATTTTGACAATGCACATCTGTTGCATCTGCCCTCACAGATATATGCCATATTTTTGCATTTCTTTGGCTACCTGGGTTGTCTTTTCAGTCTCGTACACTGTACGGACATTCCACGTCCCCATTCTTATCCTTGCCTTCATCGAGAGAAGACATACCGGTTCGCTGACTGACTTCCAAAATGCAGGCTGTCACCAGCCCACTGTGTCATTGCGCCTCTCTAATTAGAGCGAGGAGTAAGATTTTTATTTCAATTATCTGTGTGTTTAATATATACTTAGTGCTGAAGTTTCTGTGGCAGTTTGATTGGTTTCGTGGAGTATGATCGCTAGCCCCATGCCCAACGCCCCGGGCATGGGACCGGCTAGCAAACTAGGGAGCTGGTAACTGAGGTGAGGTTCGGAATCATATTTAGCTCTTCATAAAATGAACATGAATTTACGCTTTTTAGACCATTATGTATTCTTTGTAAACCATTTTTAGCTCCCTGCGATTATATGTTCATATTGCTCTGCCCTCATGAAGAACTCTGAAGGAATCTTAAAGCAGTTGACTATACCAGCCAGAATGTAGGTGCTTGTTCGATTTATTCAGTCTGCATTGTTGAACTGTTCTATATAGTTTGCTGTGTATTTCCTGTGTTTTCATGTGTAACGAATAAACAACAGTAAATATCTATTTATACAAATGCATCTGTGACAGTGTATTGTTTTACCACAAAATAAATGATAAAAATACTTTAGAATTCCATCAAAAAACCATAGAATTAGCAGCCACCCCATCAGCAAATAAGATTTACTTTATTCAGAGTGTCATAAAAACACTACGGTCGTACATATTCGATAAAAAATCGAGGGCTTTCAACCTAACCAAATATCTACGCACAGTTTCCAAATTTTATAAAGAAGTTACCCTAAGTAGACAGAAATGCAGTCCAGAACACATGTTTCAGACTGTAATTCTGTGGTGTACTTTAATTTTACGCTGAATAGATCTCTGAATATGACGTCTAGAATGACAATGAAAGCTTCGCAGGTGAGTCACCTTGTCCGGGAAACCCAATCACATGTCATAGAGTACTTCTAGAAAACAGTGTTACTGCAACGGCAATATGTAAACCATTGATTTTTTTTAGATTTTTGTTACCCTAGTTAATTGATAGATGACAAATTTCACAGACTGATTTAACCATGGTAACCACGGATGTCATCTGTCTGCCAACATTATAGTCAAGTGAGAATGCCTTCGAGATGGTAGGAGAAGATTCAATTAAGCAGCTTAGGGAGAATACACATGTCCATAAGAATATGTCTACTAGTGGATGGTTGCAATTGCTCCCAATAATAGCTGTCATTTAAAAACAGCAAACTACTTGAGTAGATTTAACATCAATCTCCATGCTTGTTGGGATTGCCGAAAGGTTCAGGGTATGTGGCGTGTTTCAATGCTGAAGATCTGCCTCCCCTCTCGCCATACCTCATCTGAATTGAGTAAGTCGTGACCTGTATAGCGCCAGAGCACTGTCGCTGTTGTGATATGCCAGAAAATCCTTTACACAGTCGAAGACACAGCTGAAAAAGGTCAAGATGACACAATGAAACGCAACGATAGTAAGTTTTAGAACGCACGTTACATCCATGCCGGTCATGTATTTGAATGGAGTACTTTTACTCCTACTTCACTTAGACATTCATCTCTAGAAAAAATAAAATTTTCTGTCTTACTGATCAAAAATGTGCTGAGAACTCTCCCTTATTCAAACAGTTTGTACAAACTACTCAGTATGTTGAATGTAGCCGGGAATTGTTTTACTGCACTGCATCATAGAAACAGAGTTGGCGATCTCTTAAACGTTTTCATGATTACAAATCTTTCGAAATCAAGGGAGTTCAGAGGCCCTGGTATAGGCTCTGTGGCCTTGGTAAGTATTACACACAACATCTGATATCTTCAAAACCTAGCATTGCATCTGATGGTTATTGTGATATTCAATGATTCCCACCCATGAGTGGGAATCACAGCTAGCTAGCCGTTTCAAATAACTTTTTTTGATTTAATTCTTGGAATTGAGGCAGATTTCATTTTGCAGATTACTCAATTATGACTCGGAAGTTTTATCTGAGAAGCAGGGGTTAATCTTCACAACCGAATTTTCTTTGTTATATAGTCACAGTTTTTAATAATGTTGTTTGAATGACACTTGTGATAGTAATGTACTGACAAAAAACGTCCACAAGTGACTACATACATGAAAGCTATTATCAGTTGCCAATTAGGTATTAGACTTATCAAAAATCAATTTATGACGAAACAGGAAATTCTTAATTAATGATTGAATTATCTGATTTAAAAAGGTAAGGTTAAACTTGTATAGAAGGTTTCGCACAATGAGGCCAAGATTTCATTCTACACTGATAATTAAAAGTATGTATGAGTATACTATAGCCAAGGGCATCAAATTCATTGGAATGAAATACTGGGAAAGACACTGAAAAACCAAATGCGATGCGTAGAAAAAAATTATTAGCTTGGTTTCATTTAAGAGCAGACAAACCTGCATCATTTTGGTTGACTTGCAGCTGTTATACTGGAGCAGCTTAATCATTAATTCACCAACATTTTTTGCAAGTGGGAATGACAATGGGAGACTTTATTAATTGGTTTTGTATTCTGGTATCGTAATCATTACATTCTTAAAACATTTTATGTATATGTGATGACAGGACATGGGCATTAAACACTGTTATGAAATTAGTCAAAGAGGGTCCTCGATTTTACCTAGATATTCCAGGTTTCCGATCTATAATAAGGTGATGCAGACGGGATACAATACCTTGACTTCAGAGATGTACTCTAGAGATGGATCATATGATGGATCCATTAAGGTGCTAGGTTATATGCGGGGATAAGGAGTAGTTTCATAAAGCCAGTGATAAATTTTGGTAGTTGCATTTTAAGATAAAGTTAGCAAGTCTTTTTGTGATGACCGCATGTGATAAGTCAGAATAATATGAAATCTAAGGTCTTGGGTCCATATTCCTACGAAGTCAACATTGGAAAACCATGCAGTTCTGAGCGCTGGAACATTAATCACAGCATTCTTCTATATGTTCTCAGACTTATAAATTCAGATTCAGATTATAAGCATAGAAGGCTCTTGTTGCCTATGTTAATCCTCGCGATATATATCTCTGCAGATATCCAGTTCCTCTTTGAAAGCGTTCATCGATGGAGCTGTTACTACTGAATCAAGTAAGAAGTTCCAGTCGTTGACCACTCTGTGAGAGAATCTAGACTCCAAACGTATTTTATTTATTTGAGCACCTTCTTCCGGTGACCCCGTAAATGTATCCTAGAGGGAGAGAAAAGGTTTGAAAGGTCAATCCCTAAATCACCCTTGAATATACGGTAAGCCAAAATTAAGTCGCCTGTCCTGCTTCGGTATGATAATGGGAAGAGATGTAAATGCTCCATCCTCACATCATAAGGAAGGTGTGAGATACCACTAACCAATTTCGTTCCAGAGTATGTGCCTCCTTTTTGAAGCATGGACTCGCCGCTTGTATGCAGTACTCTAGATGAGGCCTGACATATGTTGCATAGAGTACTTGGAACCTACCATAGTCTAATCGTTTGAAAGCCCTTCGAAGTGCCCATAGAATTCGAAAAGCCTTAGCTGCGGCTCGATTACAGTTTGCCGTTGTTTTTAAGTCATGGCTAACAATAATTCCTAAGTCCTTTTGTTCCCTAACATCTGGCAGTTCTGTGTCCCCCATGGAGTACGACGTGTAAGACTTCTGACCTAGGTGTATTACCGCGCTTTTCTTGGAATTAATTTCCAGACTGCAAAGGTTAGCCCGTTCGGCTAATTTGTCTAGATCGTTTTGTAGTACCAAACTATCATCGCTACTATTTACGGTTTTCCATATCTTAATATCGTCCGCAAATAGTAAGGAAGATGAGGTAAGAATTTTTAGCACTTCATTTACGTATAATAGGAATAGCAGGGGGCCAAGTACAGTTCCCTGAGGTACTCCACTTAGTACTGCTTTCCACCCTGACAGTACACCATTAACCCTTACCTTCTGCCTCCTATCCATCAGGTAGTCACTAAACCACTCACATAAGCGTTGGTCTAATACAAAATGTTTAAGTTTACTAAGAAGACCTAAATGGGATACCTTATCGAATGCTTTACTAAGATCGATAAATAAAACGTCCAGTAGATGGTTTTTATCCCTGGCCTCGACCCAGTCTTCCCTAGCTAACAGTAAGTTCGTCAAGCAGGATAGTCCTGGTCGGAATCCATGCTGTTCAACTGCCAGTAAACCATATTTACCTATACAAGCTAAGAGCTGGTCCCTTATGAGTGTTTCTAACACCTTTGCTATAATGCAGTTCAGACTTACAGGCCGGTGGTTAGATACTAACTTCCTGTTCCCATCTTTGAAGATTGGGTTTATAAAAGCATCTTTCCAGTCCCTGAGTAGCCTAGCCTGGGTCAGAAACATCTGAAAAATCTCCGGAAGTGGAATGTATATTATATCCGCGAAGGAGATTAACAATCTAGGGTGAAGTCCGTCTGGTCCAGGTGATTTACCTGGCTTCAACTTAGACAGTAGTTTCAAAACCATCGCATCGTCTACCACAATTGGGGGCATTTTAGGGGCTACACCCCCTGAGTGGTACATACAATTGTCCGAATGTCGCGATATTTCGCAAACTTAAAGCAATATTTAACCTCATTCAGTCAACTGAAACTTGACTAGATATGGTATGACGATATGAGAGTAATTAGTAGAATCTTTCATGGATACTGAATGTCACAATTCTCGTTAATGTCTGTTATGTAGCAAATAGCATTACCCAATTTTGAAGTTTAAGTAGCTGGTTAATTGTCGTGGAAAGGTCTTGTTTACCGAATTCGGAGATAATATAACTCTTCTCAGGCCAAAGCAATGCGAAAACGGTAGAGTATCATTAACATTAGTGGTGGAAGCAGTTTCATCCATCCCAATAGACGTGTCGCAGAAGAAATACGAGAAAGAATACGGAAGTCGCTTTTTTGCTGCAACATTTGAAACTGCATCATCTTTGGGCATCAATCATATCCCCTGTGCCATATACAGAGATGCATTTTAGTTAACAGAGTATATATATAGTCACTTACAGTCGGTGTTAGCCAAATTTGGTGGTCTAAGTCACGTAGGTGTTTGTAGAATTTTTGTGACATGGTTCATAATCGCTCACAGTGGAGAGATTATGGTCTCTCTTTTTCGTCTTTGTCACCTTAAAATCTTTCTTTAGTTTCTATTGTATTATCGTACTCATGTCTTTTTATATTTTGTTTTGATTTTAAATTTATTTTTCAAAGTGCAACAAGTTGAACTGATTTATTTCGGTATAAAAATTCATGCTGACTTATAAATCATGGAATCAGTCATCTGCGTTTATTCTCAGGATTACGTACTTGTTGAGGAGTCTCAGAGTGTACAAACAATGCTAAAAGGACTATAGTGCAGAAAGTAGTTTAGCGGTAACATTATTATTATTATTGTTCCCTTGGGTTCCTAGCGGAACATAGGACTTCAACTGCACGTCTCCACTTGCTTCTGTCTTCAGATGTACTTTTCACCTGCATCCATGTTAGTCCATACTGTTTCAACTCTTCTTCACACGATCCCCTCCATGTCACCCGTGGACGTCCCACTACTCGCCGCTTCCCTTTCGGGTTCCACTCGAGTGATGGCCTGACACGCGATGTCACCCAATGGCCTCCTCAGCGAGTGTCCAATCCATCTCCACTTTCTCCTGCATATTTGGTTGGTTTGGCGATTGGTTCTTGTTTTGTTTGTTCCCATAGTTTCTTGTTGGTGATTCTTTCCGGCCATCTGATCTTCAGTATAGAGCGAAGACAGCTGTTGATAAAGGTGTGCAACAGGCTGTTGGAAATATTCTTTGTGATCCGTATAGAAAAACTGCAGATAGACCACAAGCCAAGTTCAACACTCAAAAACTGAAGGACCAGGACACAAAGGACATCTTCACTGCAAGCATAAAAGACAAAATCGAGACACAAATCAACACTGGCGAATAGGTCAGTGTCGAAAAGCACTGGAACAACTTGAAAACAGTGTGGAGTCAAACCTGCATGGAAGTTCTAGGCAGAAACAAGAGACAGGACAAACAACGGCTCACTACGGACACTTGGAGACTGATAGAAGAGAGAGGGATGGTGAAACAAAAGATTAGCCAGTGCATTGACGAGCAACAAAAACAGGATTTGAATGCAAACTACAAGACACTGAACAAAGGAGTAAAGAAGAGTGCCAGAGAAGACAAAAGAAAGTATTATGAAACCATGGCAAGTGAAGCAGAAGAAGCTGCAGGCAAAGGAGACCTCGCAACACTTTACCAAACAACTAGGTACCTATCGGGCAAAAGTTTGACACAAATTAAGCCAGTGAAGGATGACAATGGAAAGTCAGTCACCAAAGAAGTGGAGCAAAGGAAACACTGGGCTGAACACTTCAAAAGACTCCCAAATCGACCACCACCTACAACGCGCCCAACAATACCAACGACAAAGACAGAGCTAGAAGTGAACATCAACCCCCCGACGAAATCAGAAGTCCTGAAGGCAATCAAGATGCTAAAAGCTGGAAAAGCAGCAGGACCAGATGGAATCCCAGCAGAATCGTTGGAAATGGACCCAGAGACAACACCGAACTTGATGACGCCACTACTGGAGAAGGTGTGGAAAGAAGGCGAAGTACCCGAGGATTGGAAGAAAGGATACTTATTCAAACTACCAAAGAAAGGAGACTTTAAGTCAATGCAAGAACTGGCGCGGAATTATGCTCCTGTCCATCCCAAGCAAAATACTAAGCCGCATCATCCTGGAGAGAATCAAACACGCCCTGGATGAAAAACTTCGACCGGAACAGGCTGGATTCAGGAGAAACAAGTCATGCATTGATCAGATCGCCACATTACGGATCATCATTGAAGAAAGCTTGGAATGGCAGTCACCTCTCTACCTTACTCAACTTCATCGACTTTGAAAAGGCATTCGACAGCGTCGATCGAGAGGTGATTTGGCAACTATTTCGCTATTACGGGGTGCCATCGACAAATATACATCTCATCCAACAGTTGTACGACAATGCTGCATGCCAAGTAATCCACAACGGGAAACTTACGGAACCCTTCGAAGTGAGGATAGGAGTAAGACAAGCTGGTTGTCTACTATCGCCAATGACTTTCCTGATTGCAGTAGACTGGATAACGCGACAAACAGCGGGCAATGAGGAAACAGGCATAAAATGGACTCACACAAAAAGCTTGGGGGATCTGGACTTCGCCGATGATATATATCTGATTTCCCACAAACTGGAAGATATGCAAGCGAAAAGCAACAAGTTGGCAGAAGAAGCATCCGGAGAAGATAGAACTTCAGGTGAACATAGAGAAAACAGAGGTGATGAAGATTCCCGGGCAACACCACCAACAGCAACAACAACAACGGACAACAACCAGCCAGTATAAATGGGAGGAACCTGAAAGAAACAACCTCCTTTACCTACCAAACTACCTGGGAAGCATCGTTTCAACTACAGGCGGAACTGATGAGGATATCAAAGCAAGAATCGGAAAAGCAAGACAAGCTTTCACTACTCTCAAGTCTGTGTGGAGATCAACAGCACTGCTCAGCATCAAAAATAAGATCCGGATTTTCAACTCCAATGTGAAGTCAGTGCTACTCAACATACGGATCAGAGACTTGCACTGAGCGTCATAAAAAGCATCTCAAACAAACCACAGACCTTCATTAACAGTTGTCTTCACTCAATACTCAAGATCAGATAGCCAGCCAGAAAAGATCAGCAACAGGGTGGGATCTCTGGGAGCGAACCAACCCAGCAGGAACCGATTGTGAAACAAACAGGCAGAAAGAAATGGAGATGGATTGGCCATACTCTGAGGAAACCATTAAGTGACATCACTAGACAAGCCATTGCTCGAGTGGAACCCGAAAGGGAAGCGGCGATTTGGTCGTCAGTGCTAGGCTGGGTGACTTGGAGGAGGTTATGTGAAGAGGAGATGAAAGCATGTAGGTGGCAGACTTGGAGCCAGGTGAAGACTCCAGGAGAGAACCGAACTCAATGGAGACGCACGGCTGAAGCCCTATTTTAAAGGAAATTAAAGGAAACAATAATAAATAATAATAATTTAAGCCTAACTTTAATCCTTGTTGCAGGCCAAAACTGATAAAGATTTTGAAATTTTCATATTAAAATGTAAAACAAAACCCACTTAATTTTTTCCTTTTTATCTTCAAGCTTGCAAAGTCTAATGATCGGCTTACAACTTATGATCACTGGGATAAAATACACAAAATTGACGAATTTAAAACACAGTTGTGTAAAACCCTGAACGAATACAAAGCAAACAAACAACGAGCAATATGGGAGAATGACACGCTTGAAAATCAGATCAAAGCAGAGACACTTCGCCGTTTTCACAAGGAAAAGATGAAAGAAGCAGAAGAACTCAATAAAAAGAAGTAAATTCCTTAATAGACAATGGAATAAAAGTACGCTGGCAATTTTAGACAGGAGCTGAAAACTTTACTTAAAAGTGATGAGAAAGAAGTTTTAACGCAGTGCAAAAGTCCAAGTGAAGAGAAGGCTGAGCGTTTGGCAGCAATGAAAGCGAGAGCTGAGTTATTAGAGAAACAAAGGAAAGAGGCGAATGAAAAAATTGCACGTGAAAAATATAACCAGCTTCTTCGGTAAGCTTCTCGTTCCACTTCAGTATTTAGTGTACCTACTTATATAATTCATGAGAGATAGAGTGAAGGTACCTTCATATAAGATTTGAATGCATGAAAAAAATGGTGTTCTCGTAAAGTCGATTTGATCCCTGGTGGGGTTGTAGGCGGGAAATGTTAAAAAGTCCCAAAATAAGACTATTATTATTATTGTTTCCTTTAATTCCTAGAGCAACATAGGGCTTCAGCCGCGCGTCTCCATTGCGTTCGGTCCTCTGCTAGAGTTTTCACCTGGCTTCATGTCTGCCCACACATTTTCATCTCCTCTTCACATCACCTCCTACAAGTCACCCTCGACCGGATGACCAACTCGCCGCTTTCGTCTCAGGTTCCACTCGAGCAATGGCTTGTCTAGTGATGTCACTTGATGGTTTGTTTTCTCAGAGTATGGCCAATCCATCTCCATTTCTTCCTGCCTATTTGTTTCACAATCGGTTCCTGCTGGGTCCGTTCGCTGCCAGACACTTACGCTGTTGCTGATCTTTTCTGGCCGGCCATCCGATCTTGGGCGAAGTACTGAGCGAAAACAACTGTTAATGAAGGTCTGTAGTTTGTTTGAGATGCTCTTTATGACGCGCAGTGCAAGTCTCTGATCCGTATGTTGAGTAGCACTGACTTCACATTGGAGTTGAAAATCCGGATCTTATTTTTCATGCTGATTGCTGTTGACTTCCACACAGACTTGAGAGTAGTGAAAGCTTGTCTTGCTTTCCCTATCCTTGCTTTGATATCCTCGTCAGTTCCACCTGTAGTTGAACAGAGAAGCGACCTTGTGGGTTGCTCCCCTTGAAACCAGGAAAACAAGGAAGAAACAATCAGAACAACAACGAGCTATCTATTGTCACTTAGTTTCTAACAGTTCTCTAATCTATTTCGGTTTAATAAGAATTATTTTTAAAAAATCTTTCTTTTAATCTTCCACGTTCCCAGTGGAAAATATAGGGCTTCAAGCTAGAGGCTTGAAGTTTCTGTAGCAGTGTTTATGAATCCGCTTAATAAGAATTATACCTTAACATTATTCAAATATGCAAAAATCAGCATCTGTTGTAAATTCTGTTTTGTTCCATTTATGGTTCAGTTTACAGTTTCAATGCAAGACTTATATTCTTGGGAAGTTATGTGTCGAGTGTTCTGTGGAATAGTATTATTCAAGGACTAAGTGAACGAGCTTCATTTCCGTTCAATTCGTTTTCAACACCAGCCAATAAATATGAGCATTTTCAAATGTTTACAAGGTGTTCTCAACATATGTCGTCGTCTTTATCTTTGGTTAATGAAAAAAACACATGTTTTGCATTACTTAAATACTGGCAAATAATTTCAGGTAAACCGAATCACTGCTAATAGACGGGGTTTAAACAAACACCCAGAAAAATTTTACGCTCAATGGTACCTTATAAATCAATACATTTATTTCGAAATGTCTTTTATAATGTGGCGTGTGCTGTTGACAAGGTTTATCAGAAGTATGTAGACACAGACTGATAGACTTCTCCTTTAGGCATAAACGAGACATACAAACACTAGTAAGTACTCATGAAGACTGTTGCATTGAGAGGACTAAAATTGAAACTAAGTCTAATACAAAATACCTTGGTCTAGTTATATCTTCCGACCTTACTTGGACGTCTCATATCCTAACGATTTCTAAGAAAGTGTTCTGTCTAACCTACTACATTAAGAAACTTAGACAATCTGGAATCACCCAACCTCTACTTTCACAATTTGTCAACTCTTGTATCTTACCTGTTCTACTTTACTGCTCCCCGTTAGTCTTTCCTGGGCTACTGAAAAAGGACTACACCATCTTGAGAAGGATGTTGAAGGTAGTTAGTAGGACTAGTGGTGTAAAACTCAGCTAGCTCGTCACTACATTGGTTGAAAGGCATCTGAATACATGCGAAAATGGTCTAAAACCATACTCTCCGACCCCCTACACCCCCTCTATTCCCAACTCTCGCCTTGTATCTCATCAAGCAGAACCAGAAATCAGTATAAAATAACCTATGCTAGTACAACCAAGTACAGGAACTCAACGATACCATATTTGGCCAGCCCGTGTTCTAAGTGACATAGACAATGTTAAGCGCGAAACCTATGACTTCCTCTGTTGTTAATAACTTAATTTTAGGCTCTTTTATTTCTCTCTTATTTTGTATTCTATAGTGAACTCCTTCTAAAACATACTTGGCTACCTAAATTATTAACATTGGCTTCCTTTTTGTACTTGACTCTATTCCTTCTTTTGTGTATCTGCTGGTTCCGACTATATTAGCACTATGAGTATTACAAAATTGTCCTGTCACTAACCATCATGTGATTATTAGTTTTTGTGGTTGATTTTTATTTTTTTCGGCAATATTAACTGACAATCATTGGTTGTGAACGCCATAATCACCACCTTAAAATTTTGTATTATGGAGGATTACTCACACTATCACTACAAACACCGCATTAGACCTGAGAAAAAACGAACAACCCTGAAATGTTATTTTATGGTTGTTTAGTGTTGTTTCAACCAAATTAACTGATCTTCTTTGCGATAAACATTCTTAAATACCATTTCATAACTTCTTGTATGACTATAGCTTTACTGTCAGCATGCATAATCATATCATATCTTCCACTACCCAATACTGAGATATTATTATACGTTGTTTATTTTCTTTTCTACTTCTTGGTATTTTTTTTCGCATTAAAAAATTATTTTTGTGTTCGTTTTTTTTTTGTTGTTGTCTTTATATTTATTTTTTGTAATACTCCTTTTAAATGTTTGTAAAATTAGATGCAAATATTGTAGATATGCGCTGAAAATTCCACACTGTACCACTAGTACTGTTTCTGGAATAAAGCAAATTATTATTATTAAAAAAAACTAGCCAAAATTCAAAAAGTGTTAAGTCAGTGGCTAAAGAACTAGAAGCGTTTATTCCTCATATCTGTATCTAGCTTCCGTTGTAGTCAGAAAATAATCTCAAGGTTTAACATTCAGGAAATCAACAACTTACCGTGACAGTTTACTATCCGCCTAACTATTCAACTATGAATATGGCTAAAAATGCATAAATATGGAGTGTTTTTCCTCAGTAGAAAAGTCCGTCACCAGGTCTCTTGTCTTCTCCCGTTACATTTGGTGTCGCTGCCTCCAGACAGTGAAGATCCCATAACCTGCTGCTTTCGAAAAGGGAGATATAAGAAGCTTCTTGTGGGACTTCGATGTCATCGCTGAATTGGTGGGTGTGAAGGATCTGACGGTGAAGGCAGTTTTGCTAGAGTTGATGCTGAGAGGTCCGGCAAAGACGGCGTACGAAAGCGTGGAGAGGTCATGTGATAAAGAGACTTGGAAGGTATTGGTTGAATGCTTGCAAGGTGGGAATCGACAGTCCAGCGGACAGACAGCAGGCAATGCAGCAGTTCCGCGCCATGAAGCTGGGACCTAACGGAGACCCACTGGTATTGCCGGTGAAGCTGACGAATCTACTTCGTCGTGCACATGCCACATTTGATGAAGAGTTGGAGACGCAGTTGTTGGCTTCCCAGTTTATCCAAAAGTTTCCAGCTGCAACTGACCAACCCTACAAAACCTAAGTGACAAGATAGATACTGAGCATAACGCTAACCTCAATAGAGCCACCAAAATCTAACGATTATTTTTATTCCTTCACGTTCCCAGTGGAACATAGGGCTCCAAGCTAGTGGCTTGAAGTTTCAATAGCAGTGTTTATTTTTACATGATGGGGTTGCTAGCCTCGTGCCCAACCTTCCCTCTTCACCAGCATTATTTCTGGCTTAGAGAGATAAAGGAGTGCGTCGGCGAGGGATCGCACCCTGGACCATGTGCATGGTCGGTGAGAGTCGTAACCGCTATGCCACCGACGCACAAAGTCTAACGATTGGGAAAATAAAATTGAAGATTTGCAGCATGAAGTAGCAGCGCTACGAGTGAGTGCCAGGAAATACCAGTGATTCGAATGTAGCAGACTAGGACACTTCAGAAGGTACTGCCCAGAAAGACGAAGAAGAAGAAGTTTCATACAGCATGAAGTATGTTCTTCCACTCCAATAAGACTTAAAATTCTGGCTACTTTCTATTAATCTGCGTCTACATACTACTGATATATTTCATCAGTAGCACGTCCATAACATATAAAATGCTTAATTTCTTATTAATCGATGAAACCAAATAGAGTATCTCACAGGAAATGAGGTTAAGAAACTCCACCGACTGGGGTGGATGAAAGTACACCACGAAATACAAGCAACTATCAACTTTAAGACAAAGTTGTCTCGCTAATAATCAGGCTGGAATCTACCTAAAAGTATTTATACAAACATATGGTGGAAATCTTGACAATGAGTTTTCTGTCACTGTCCGAATGCACTTTTATATTCAGCTTTCATCGGTTTTTGAATAAACAAAGTATAAAACCTTCACTGGACAAGCCCTCGAGTGGAACCCGAAAGGGAAGCGACGAGTTGGTCGTCCAAGGGTGACCTGGAGGAGGTCATGTGAAGAGGAGATGAAAGCATGTGGGCAGACCTGGAGCCAAGTGAAAACTCTAGCAGAGAACCGAACGCAATGGAGACGCATGGCTGAAGCCCTATGTTCCTCTAGGAACTAAAGGAAATAATAATAATAAAACCTTCAATTCACTAGCTGAACTTTGTGCATAGACAGGTAGCTGTAAATAGTATAATACTGAAAAGATTTAATAAATAAACCTCTAATTTTTGTTTATGAGAAATTGATGCAAGTAAATGAAACTGATATACATCATCTCAAGCAAATATTTATCTCGAAATTTCCAGTCACGCATTTAGAAAAAAACAACAGATTGAACGAATAAATCATGCATTCCTTCACTTCAATTAGTTCCTCATCATCGGCTGATTGGCTGGCTGGCTCTACACTTATATTTCGTTTTCTACATCAAAAGTTTTTGTGCCGAATAAGTGGTTATTTTACTCAATCAGTTTTAGGTATGGGCGGCGTGGGGTGAAATCAAGAGGTTAAGGGTCAACAAAACAACTAACTCATAGGTGTTAGTAACAAGATATCTAAGTTTTAAAAGAGGGGTGAAAATTAATTACGCGATTCAAGATAAGTTGATTCTTAGGCGTTGGCAACATCACCCTGCGTGGTTAAGCAAAGGACAAACAAAATCTATTCGCAGCGATATTCTATCTCATCTTGTGGATACAGAACACAAGATTGACGTTAATCATGCTTTCAGGGTCATTTACCGCTTACCTATGAACCTCAGATTGCCTTAAGAGTTCGACTACTAAACATTGCTGAGGCTGTGGGGATCCATATTAATAAGCCTAATTTGTGCATCCAAAAAAGTTAGTTCAGATATTATCATTACCCTGGCCATCTAGGTTTGAATAATCATGAATTTTTGTGGAATTTTCCGAATTTTAGTTGATATTCTATTTGCTACTATATCTTTGTTATTATTATAATTTAAGCATCTTTAATGAACTGTAATTCCATTGTGATCTTACTTTACAAATCAATATTATTATTTAAAAAACACTAATATTGTTATTGACTACTAATCTGGAATATTCTATGTATATAAACATGCATATATAATTGTAGAGCCTGGAAGAGGAGGAATTTATCGAAAAGAATATTCTTTGCTCAATTATTTTGTGTTTTATAGATGTCTGAATGAATATTTTTGCTATATTGAAATCTTCTGAGCATCATTTTGCGTTAAAAGTACTCAACGATTATTTGAAGTATAGTGCAAGGCTCAGCGAAGCAAAGACTACTGTTGACTTTATCCACCAGTGTATTGCAGCAAACCGGTACCCTAAATTATAAATAAGTCAATTGAATCAACCAGAATTGTAAAAATTAACAAAATCAAAAGATAGTTACAATGGGGGGAGGGGGAAATCGTTTTAAAACAACAATGCATATTATATGGTTGGCCATGGCAAAGAAAGGGGGTGTACAAATTTCATTGGAAACACACATATTTGGCTTGTTCAAATGAATTCCGATTGCCTCTGCTGCATGTAAAAGTCGTGCTCGTAGACCATGCGAGAAGTTGGGTGATATACGATAAATAACTTTAAAAGCTTTGTTAGAGTTGACTTGATGTACAGTATCGACGGGATGAGCTAGTATTGAGCTGCGCATAGGTTTATTCGGAACTTTGGCGAACCAAGATAGGAGGTGTTCAGAAATTCGACGATGAACTTGTCTGATCGTACGCCTTAGATAACTATGTTTGTAATTTACGGAATTCTTCTGAGTCATCCTATTCTTCTTCCTAGGCATCATTACTATTTTATAAACTTCTTGGTTATTCAATAAGTTGTTGCCAACGCCTAAGAATCAACTTATCTTGAATCGCGTAATTAATTTTCACCCCTCTTTTAAAACTTAGATATCTTGTTACTAACACCTATGAGTTAGTTGTTTTGTTGACCCTTAACCTCTTGATTTCACCCCACGCCGCCCATACCTAAAACTGATTGAGTAAAATAACCACTTATTCGGTAAAAAAACTTTTGATGTAGAAAACGAAATATTAGTGTAGAGCCAGCCAGCCAATCAGCCGATGATGAGGAACTAATTGAAGTGAAGGAATGCATGATTTCTTCGCTCAATCTGTTGTTGTTTTTTTCTAAATATTTATCTATCATAAACACCACAATATTCTTATTATCTTTTGCATTTTTAGTGAAAAATGTGATGCCTTACGTCAAGAGGTGTCTAAACGTAGAGCTCACGAAGTAGCCCGTGACCGGCTTATTCAAATCGAGATGAAAAGACAAGAAAAACTCATGGAAAAACAACAAAATGACTATTTAAATGAATTGGCGCGGTCTAATGCAAAGAGTTTTTCAGAGGAAGAGAACAAAACAACCGTTATAGAGGAGAGAAAGTAACTTATTCAAAGCTTTTTGTCTCTTTTGATGATGATTTTTTTCTGTCTCTATAGAAAACTTGCCAGCTTTTTAAGACAACAGATGGAAGGAAAAGAAAAAGAGAAGAGTTTAGCGAAAGAAGAGAAGCTGAACCAGTCAAAAGCCCTGGTAATTTAATTTATCCCAACATTCTTATTTTGCCCGCTGACATACTTACAGATAAGATAAATACTATCCAGCCATATTGGATGACAGTCGCGTCAAACTGTCTATGCGGTTGAATAGCCACGAGTTGACTACGAAACCGGATGGTCCTGGTTGTCGTCTTAGCTACAGACAGTGAAACAAACTGATATTAGTATCGGTTTTATAAACTGTAATCTATCAGAGTAACATTCACAGGTGCGTCGGTGGCATAGCGGTTAGGATGCTCGCCGACCATGCACACAGTCCGGAGCTCGATCCGCCGCCGACGCACCCCTTTACCTCGCTAAGCCAGAAATAAGGCTGGTGAAGAGGAAAGGTTGGGCATGAGGCTAGAAACCCCATCCTGTAAAATAAACACTGCTAGAGAAACTTCAAGCCACTAGCTTGAAGCCCTATGTTCCACTGGGGAACGTGAAGGAAAAAAAAGAACAAAAAAAACATTCACAGTGGAAAGTGTTATTAAGGCAGAAGTGATTAAATGATATTTTTAACCAGACAACTTATTCAGCGAAAGTTGCTCATCGAATTATGTTGAGTAACTTTATTGTCATGAACTCATCTGATTTCGTCTTGACATGATTTTCACTCATGTGGTTCAACGTATGCGATCAGTCTAATGAAAAAAAACACATCTGTGTTGAATGGTATTCAAACAAGTTAGTCACTTGAAAAGTATGGCTGACTGTCAATCGACTTCAACCGTTCCACTAACTTGAAATATAGCTGAGTTGGGTAAGGAGAGAATGTACTTCAGAGAAACTAGATATACAAACCAAAGAGTCTTCAGATTATGCACTTCTTTACAGGTTTTCATCTGCGAACCCTTTTTTGTACATCTTTCTTTATTGCCGTGAGAAATGGTAGCGGAAAGTGGAAGACTTGAGGAGACCGGCTGTCTATAACTACAGGTGTTTGCATCCTATCTACCATATTAAGTAGTATAATGTAGTAACTAATACCAAGGTTATGTACAGAGTGTTAGATAAGAAAGGGGGGGAAATTCAGTCAGTGAGGTTGTGAAGATGCACTGACTGAAATGACTGGGATACACAGTAGTAAGTATGCCAAACGACCGCCTTTCTCGTTAAAAGAAATGTTAGCTGACCTATTATTAAGTTGGAAGAAGGTTGGGGCCGGTTAAATCAAAACTGGTTTGAACTACGGAGGGAGGCGTGAACTGCCTGGCTTTGGTTGTTGAGTATCGAAAACCTAATGACTAGAGATTGTGGGTGAAAATCGTTCTCGATGACGCAAATGCATGCTTACTGAATTCTTATTATTCTCCAAGTAATTATTCCTTCTGCCGTAAATTTTTTGTTTGTTAAAGTTTCTTTGCATCTAAAATTTTCCTTCACTTGCATTTGTACTTTGTAAAGTGTGGCTACTTAAAATGCTTCAATACTGTGCACAATTCTAAACTAACACTTCAGTTTAACTCAATTCTGTTTGATTTTCACTGAAATACGGAAAGTAATGAACATTGATTGTTGTTATCGGGTCCCTAGGGATGATATTCTTGGGTTTGAAAGTAATGCCGTTGAAAAGTTGTGGTAAGCAGTGGCAGTAATCCGAAGGGCGTCGTTCTTCTGCTTTCACTTCCATCAATATGCTATCATCTTAGCATGAGAGCAATGGCTGCATTTTCCTTATAGCTTTCAGATACAGCGTTAGTTACTAATTACATTGATGGTATTTAGTAAGTATGGAATTTTCAGCATGGATATTGGTAGCCCAAATTTTGCAGGCCGACCATAGATATCGGGTGTGCGTCGGCAGGGATAACCCGGACCATGTGCGTGGTCGGCGACAGTCCTAACCACTGTGCCACCGACGCACATTAACAAGTATTGTTAGTTAGATCCAGGTTTCCAATATGACAGAATACTCTTTAACTAGGCATATCTCGTCAGGGTTCGGTTCCCAACTGACATGTGCCTTAGTCTCGTCTAGCCGGTGGTAGGCTCAGAAAAGAGGAAGGGCTTGGGGGTGAGGCTAGCAACCCCATCTCATGAAAATCACGTAGCGGAATTGAAAAAAACTACTAGTTGAATTTAAGTTTCTATAGTAACTCCCTAGAAAAAGTAAACAGATGATTTTTCTTGAAGTTGTTGATTTTCGACTCTGGGAACACATTTATTTGAAGTTATTTGGGTAAAATCCAAATACTTTTATACACACAACCTCCATTATATGACCCATGTAATAAGTAGGAGGATGGTAACTCTTTGACTGATCGTACCTGCCATATTATTAACGTACTCAAATAATAATAATTATTGTTTCCTTTAGTTCCTAGAGGAACATAGGCCTTCAGCTGAACGTCTCCATTACGTTCGGTTCTCTGCTGACGTTTTCATCACATGGCTCCATGTCTGCCCACATGCTTTCATCTCCTCTTCACATGACCTCCTCCTATGTCACCCTCGCACTGACCACCAACTCGCCGCTTCCTGTTCGGGTTCCACTCGAGCATGGTTTGTCTAGTGATGTCACTTGATGGTTTTCTCAAAGTATGGCCAATCCACCTCCATTTCTTCATGCATCTTTGTTGCACAATTGCTTCCTGCTGGGTTGGTTCATCCATTGCCAGAAATCTATCGCTGTTGCTGATCTTTTCTGGCCGGCCATATGATCTTGAGTATTATTGTTAGAAGTGGCCTTCATGACGCGGTGCCAAGTCTCTGATCCGTGTGTTAAGTAGCACTGACTTCATATTGGAGTTGAAAATCCGGATCTTATTTTGAATACTGAGTGCTGCCGACCTCCACACAGACTTGAGAGAAATGAAAGCTTGCCTTGCTTTCCTGATCCTCGCTTTGATGATATCCTCGTCAGTTCCGTGCACCTGTAGTTGGAACGATGCTTCCCAGGTAGGTAGGTAAAGGAGGTTGCTTCTTTCAGATTCCTCTCCTCATTTATGCCGATTGTTCTCTGTTGTTGTAGCTGTTGATATTGCTGTTGGCCAGGAATCTTCATCACCTCTGTTTTCTCTTTGTTCACCTGAAGTCCCTCCTATCTTCTCTGAATGCTTCTTCTGCCAACTTGTTGCTTTTCACTTGCATATCTTCCAGTTTGTGGGAAATCAGACATATAGCGTCGGTGAAGTCCAGATCCTCAAAGTTTTTGTGTGGGCCCACTTTATTCCTGTCTCCTCGTTGCCCGCTGTATGTTGCATTATCCAGTCTGTGGCATTCAGCAAAATCATAGGAGATAGTAGGCAGCCAACTTGTCATACTCCCGTCTTCCCTTTGTAGGATTCCGTGAGTTTCCAGTTGTGGATTTCTTGGCATGCAGCATTGTCGTACAGCTGTTGGATAAGATGTATAATTGTCGGTGGCACGCCGTAGTAGTGAAGTAGTTGCCAAGGCAGCTCTCGATTGACGCTGTCAAATGCCTTTTCAAATTCAATGAAGTTGAGATAGAGAGGTGACTGCCATTCCAAGCTCTGTTCAATGATGATCCGTAGTGCTGCAATTTGATCGATGCAAGACTTGTTTCTCTTGAATCCAGCCTGTTCCGTCAAATTTTTCATCCAGGGTGTGTTTGATTCTCTCCAGGATGATGCGGCTTAGTATTTTGCTTGAGGTAGACAGGAGCATAAGGTATTCAAATGACACAGGTGACAACTGTATCCAAATTTTAATTTAGTGCTATTCTTAGGTGTGTCACAACTGCCAGCTTAAATTTACTTATATACTTCTTCGATGTTGTGTGGATTATACAACAGTTAAAGTAAGGTCACTGACAATAGTATCAGTATAGCCTTCATGTTTACTATTTCTTACTGGATTGATTTATTTGCTGGGAATGAAACATCTACACAAATGCCTCTAAAAAAAGTAATTATAAAGATTCGTAGTTGTTGTTTGTTGATGTATAACTGTGGTGAGAGCTGTCTACTAGCCAAATCGGTAGACAGTAATTTACGTCAATATTTACGTTCCCAAGATTTGTCGTGAGAAAATGTGAACAAAGATTGATTCAAAACCGACCACAGCAGACTTTGCGTAGGCGGATGCAGTTAACATAAAGAGGATTTGACATTCAAGAAACAGTCACAAATAGATGAAAGATTAACTTTAAGTGAGAAACAACCAATCGGAAGACTGTGTTTGTTTGCTTAAATATCCATAGTAATGTACATGAAAATATATAAATATGCGTTGATTTCCTTAATAAATGATCTGTTGCCTGACCCTTGCCTTCTGTTGTTACATAACAACAACCTTTCACTTCACAGAATGCACATTTCATTTTTGCATGAAAGCCTGTTTCAATGTTCTACGCCAAACGGTATTTCGTATCGAAGGACTGATTCCATCTTTTTTTGATGTGGTTGCGTTCTCTGAGCTGCATAGTTAATTTGCGAAGCTTTCATCGCCCCCTACTAGGCGACATCTACAGCGCATACTTCAATTTGAAGTAAGCTTTCAGATTTCTCCACGAGTTTATTAATCATCTCTCCTGGTGACCTTGAACGTGATTAGTTGTTTTGTGTGTTTTCTCACCCTCTAGCCTACTTGTATTGGAACTGATTGTTTCTTTGACTTGAACTTTGACCCTTTTTGTGTGAGATTTCCTTTTTATCGGTCGGTAAATTCTGTCTATTTAGATGTGTCTATTGATTGATGATTCACTGGAATACCAGGAAGGCTTCTAAAAATTCTCTAGAATTCTTTGTGTTTCCTCTGTCTAAAATTTGAACATAGTCCCAATCGAATTGATACCCGTGGTTGTCTGTATGCAGTGAGGCGATATGAGGGAGTGGATGTCATGTCTTTTGACGGCTAGCTTATGTTCATGGATACGAAGACGAAGGGGATGTGCACGTTGGCCAATGTAGTGTTTTTCGCAGTTGTTACAATTTATTTTGTAGATGGCCAAAGTGGACGTCCCCTTCGTTTTGGTATCCATGAGCATAAGGCAGCCATCAAAAGATATAACATCCACCTGACGTACAAATCTTCTCCATCATTTCTGATTCTGTCTTCACTTAGACTAATTATCTTTTTTCTCTATATAGTACTCGTCAACTCTTAGAGAACAGTGTTATCAAAACTGAAAAATCATTCATGAAAATTAAGTTACCCCTACCCGCCCACCCCTAAAAAATGGTAAATCTCATTGAAGTGAGGAAGGAATTATTAATGCAGTTAAACAGTTGCACAGATTATGACCTCTGTCACCCTTGAAGTCTGCCATCTCTCCAGACGGATAAGCAGATAATAAATTTCAGTGTATCAGAACACATCTTACCCTTAACGAATTAAACTGCTCGTATCTAGTTTCAATATAGCAAAAATATTCATTCAGACATCTATAAAACACAAAATAATCGAGCAAAGAATATTCTTTTCAATAAATTCCTCTTCCAGGCTATACAATTATATGTGTTTTTATACATAGAATATTCTAGAATAGTAGTCAATAACAATATTAGTGTTTTTTAAATAATAATATCGATTTGTGAAGTAAGATCACAATGGAATTACAATTCATTAAAGATGCTTAAATTATTATAATAATAATAAAGATATAATAGCAAATAGAATATCAACTAAAATTAGGGAAATTCCACAAAAATTCAGGATCATTCAAACCTAGATGGCCAACGTAATGATAATGTCTGAACCAACCAACTTCTTTTGGATGCATAAATTAGGCTTCTTAATATGGATCCTCACAGCCTCAGCAATATTTAGTAGTCGAACTCTTCAGGCGAAATTGAGATTCGTAGGTATGCGGTAAATTACCCTGAAAGCATGATTAACGTCAATCTTGTGTTCTGTATCCACAAGATGAGACAGAATAGCGCTGCGAATAGATTTTGTTTGACCTTTGCTTAAGCAGCAGGGTGATGTTCGGAAATTCGACGCGAAACACGCCTAATTGTACGGCCACTCCACAGGAGCAGTTAAATTGGTAGATACACATGGAAGAGGCGAAATTAAGCAGTTCGTCTTTTATTCCCGAAAGCAGAAGAGGAGTGGTTTTGAAGATACAGCGTAATTCAGTTTGTTAAATTAAATGAAAATATGTGAGCTTTATCTCATTTTTATTTTTTATCAGGAAGAATTCAATAAACTTTTAGAGCAAGAGAAACAGGATGAAATTGAAAAGAAAAAACTGAAGATGTTGAAAACCAGATCAGATTTGGACAGATGCCTACAGGATAAAATGCAAAGGAAGGCAGAAGAAGAAAATCTGAAATCTGAATTAGACGGTCTCTTTGCTTCTTTAATTCAGCAGGCAGGTGATGAAGAAGATTCTGGACAGAAGAAACATAAGGTAAGTGTATGATATTGCTCATGTTTTTGTAGCAAAATCAGCTGAAGTGATATATTAATAAAATTTGTACTGCTCAGCATTCCGCTCCGTCTCCTTTATGGCTGTGAGACCGGCCATTGAGAGTGGAAGACATGAAAAGGCTGGCTAGCTGTATTTGATTATAGGTGCCTGCGTTCTATCTCCCGTGTGAAGTGACATAATATGGTGAGCAATATTGAGGTTAGGCGTCACTCGAGTGCTAGGTAAAGAGGGGAAATCAATCGATGAGTCTATGAAATTACATCGACTGAGATGGTTAGGACATGTGCTACGTATGCCTAGTCATCGCCTTCCTCGACGGGCAATGTTAGTCAGCTGACATAGGGTCAGGCTGGAAAAGAGCTAGCTAGCGGCGGTCGAACCAAAACATTGCACCAGTCAATGAAATCTGCAACAGTTAGTCTAGGCCACGTAGGAAGGTGTAGACTGCTGTCTGGTTTGGGGTCCTCAGGACTGTAAAAACCAATGGCTGGAAACAATTGGTGATATGGCTCGAAGTCCTTCTCAATGGCTGGTGCAGATGCATCCACTCCTTTTGACTTATGATTTCCAATGAAACTATATTGTTCTTCGTTACTACTATTCCTTTGTCCCACACCTCTGTTTACTGTCTATATTATGCATTTCTTCTACTTTCTTCTCTTGCTTTGTGTGCTACATGGAGTGTGGTGACTTGGACTGCCGCACATCGGTGCAAAATTCCATGTCGAAAGCGTATAGACAGACAGACAATAATAAAATTATTAGGCGTACTAGGTGTATTCAATCACCAGGAATTCTTTGAGTAGTCAACTGAAGCACAAGCATATTTCCATCATGTAGTGCTCTCCAACTCAGTTTAACCAGGGTAACTGAGGTTTGTTGAATTGGCAGAAGTCGATGAAGGCAGGAAAAAGAAGAATAAACATGGTTTTGATTGCAATCCAGTAATTTGAACTGATTCAGCACCTAGGATTTTATAAATAAGCACTCAGAATAACACAGAATCTCGATCTTGGAGAAAACACTTAAACATGATAATTACTTGTTAATATCCACGTCACTTTCTACACATTTGGCGATGTTACAGTTCTTAGGAATTTCACGGTTAGTAGAACACATTTACTCCACACAATTTCACGGGTGGGTGGCGCGTGTAGTACTGTTCCTATAACTTTATTCGATTGATAAATGCGCTACTTTGAGCTTTTTGTCAGATTCGACTGCATTTTCTTGCTTCTGCAGTCGGTGAATTTAAGCAAACCCAGTTTGATAGGAAATTGGGAAATACTAAAACCTGTATTATAATTATATAGTTCTACTACTTATAACTACTAAGTAACATGATTAGTTTGAAAAAAATTGGTAAGTGAATTTTTGTATGTGACTGTCGATTGTACCCAGAACCATGTTCTAATTGGGATTCAATTTCTAGGCTGATTTGAAGAAAGAGACACTACAATATCTGGAGTACGTTCGTAAATCGAAAGAGGTAGAAAAAGAGTATGAAAAAGAAATAAACAGGATAATTGATGAACATATTGCTAAACAGCATAAACTTATGCATGATAAAGAACTGAAAATTGGAACAGCTAGAGAGAATTTGAAAAATGAAGTGACTGAAATGTGCAGACAACAAATAATGGAGAAAAGTAAGTTGAGCACTTTTATTATATATATCTTCTGTTAGCTATTGTATGCCATGTTATGCCATGTGTGCGTCGGTGGCACAGTGGCTAGGACTCTCGCCGACCATGCACATGGTCCGGGGTTCAATCCCCCACTGACGCACACCCGATATCTATGGTCGGCCTGCGAAATTTGGGCTACCGATATCCATGCTGAAAATTCCAGACTTGTACTGAAAATACAGTGTGGCATGAAGCTATAATCAAAAATAAAAAAATAATAAAAAAATAATAAATGTTATCTAAGGTAGTTTATTTAGATTTCTGAAGTTATTTCTGAATACAAGGTAATATATGTGTAAAACTTGGGCACTGTGGTAGTAAGTAATTCCATATTAGTTTGTTTATTAGATGTATCACACAGTGAAATAGTAATATATACTAGATGACGAGGTTTCGAACACAATCTATTATTGTTCAGAATTATATCAGTTGTAATCACACGACTTTGAGATTTGAGTTTTATAGTTTTCTTTGTTCTCTCCTCTCTGTCGTCCTTGGGGTAGTAGAATTTTCCAGATATCTGGGTGCACACGTGTTGAATCATTCCTATTACATGTATTTGCTGTTGATTCGATAGAAAAAGGTTCTGTTATCAATCTCTCCCTCCACCCTGTGACAATATATTTTAAAACTGTCATCTTATCCCATTCATCCTATTGTATGGTTGTGTATGATTGCATGTAGTGAGAGCTATAGCTGAAATATTCTCTAGATTTCTTATCTTATTCGGGTCAACTAATCTAGATTTTGCTAGGTTTTAATGCTCGGCTAGTTTGACTGCCCCTGTTCTAATAGTTTGACCTATGTATTTGACCTGACAATCATTGCAGGCAGGGTATTAGATAAACTAAATTGTTTTGTTTTAAAGGCTCCACAGGATTGCCCCTTTAACGGACAAAGCATGTTTCTAAATGAGTTTGTGGCCAGTTTGAATGCCAGTCACTTTTCTTCCTGCCTTGTTAAGAATTCTGCGTAAGTCTTCCGAGGTTCCTTCCTTGCATGGAATTACTACTGATGATTTAGATTCCTTATTGTTGATATCGTCATTAATATTATTATTATCACTATAATTATTATCATTATTATTTTTATCAGTATTATTATTGTCACTAACGCTACTATCACATGACGTATCATCATCGCTAAGACACTGAAATATGCGGAATGTAACCTGAAAAGAAACTGTTAGCAAAGTTAAACGTATAACGTGTAACTCGCTAAACCCGGGCTGCTGATTTTGGATAGGCTCGGATTGTATCAGTTAACAACCTTGTTGCTTCTTTAAATCAATACATAAATACACACATACACACACACATAACATGGGCTTTGTCACAATGAAGCAACCTAAAATTTTCTACAAATGAACATTTCAACATTTATTATTATATTATTGTTCCCTTGGGTTCCTAGTGGAACATTGGGCTTCAACTGCAAGTCTCCACTTGCTTCTGTCTTCTGTTGTATTTTTCACCTGTCTCCATGTTAATCCATACTGTTTCAACTCTTCTTCACACGATCTCCTCCATATCACCCTTGGACGTCCCACCCGCCGCTTCCATTTCGGGTTCCACTCGAGTGATGGCCTGACGCGCGATGTCACTCAGCGGCCTCCTCAGCGAGTGTCCAATCCATCTCCACTTTCTACTGCAGATTTATTGGGCGATTGGTTCTTGTTTTTTTTGTTGGTTCCCATAGTTTCTTGTTGGTGATTCTTCTGGGCCAACCGATCTTCAGTATAGAGCGAAGACAGTTGTTGATAAAGGTCTGTTGGAAATATTCTTTGTGACACACTGGCCAAGTTTCTGATCCATCCGTATAGAAGAACTGACTGACTTGACGTTTGTATTGAAAATTCGAATTTTGTTGTTGATGCTGAGTGACGAAGATTTCCAGATTGATTTCAGGTTGATGAATGTGTTTCTCGCCTTCCCGATTCTCGATTTGACATCCTCGTCGGTTCCTGCTGTAGTTGAGACAATGCTCCCTAGATAAGTGAATGAAGTCACCTGTTTCAAATCCCTTCCGTTGATGGTGATTGGCGGTGGATGTTGCTGCTGTTGTTGTTGTTGTTGTTGGTTGGTTATTGTCATAACCTCTGTCAACATATAGCTTACTACTAATTCAATTTAGCCTAAGAAATCAATTGAGCAACAGATGTGTGACATCTAGTTTACCTATTGTACCTGAGAAGGTATATGACACATGTCCTCAGTATGAAACTCGACTTAATAATACTAGTGTTATCTCTGAAGTATTGATAATAATAATAATAACAATAGTAATAATAATATAAAACTATAAAACTCAAGTTTCAAAGTCGTGTGATTACAATTGATATGATTATGAACAGTATTAAATTTTGTTCGAACCGTCATCCAGTAAATAATACTGTTTCACTAACTGTGTGATATATCTAATAAACAAACTAATGTGGAAGAATACAAGTTAGTTGAAATCTGAGCGTATCCCTCATTTTTTTCACACATATAAACTCATTAGTAGACGGTATCCTATTGACTTTCTGAGTTAGGCAAAGGAACCAGGTGAGTTGGCCATCATAGACTGTGGAATAAAACAAAAACAAGATGGTGGGTTAGATACCAGGACTCATAGGAAACCGACACACACTCTAATAATAAATAATTAGACTTTAATTCCCTGTGATCCAGAATCGGTAAAGATAGGTTTCATTAAATGTCGATATAATGGAGCCAAGAGCTTAACTAATAAGCCAGAAGATTTAAATAATGAAATCAAACAAATAAAGGAAGTATTGCTAGTGAATAACCACCCACCAGAATCTGTTCAAAAGTACATGCAGAACCACTGGAAGACCTGGGAGTACTGGGACCCGGTCAAATGGTCCTTGAACTCTAACTTCTGCCAATTCACGACATAGCGCGATCATTCCGCAATGTCTTCTTCGATGGTCCACCGAGGGAGAGGGCTCTCGAGTGCTTGCGCTACAGGATGATCGTGCATGCCGGTTTCGTCTCGCAAGAGGCAGAGTCCCAAACTAGGACGAAACAGCTGTCCAGTACTCCCAGGTTTTCCAGTGGTTCTCTAACTGATGTCAGCTGATAATGAAATCCTTCATGCAATCAAACAAAATCCCTACAAAGCCAATAATTGAACATGCAGAACCATAAAAAATTACGAGCAGCAAGAAAAATGACCAAAATAATCTAGAATTCCACGCCTCTGTAGTACTGCCAAATAAAGACGGAACGTCAGAGGTCTTACGTAATATTCTCAATGACGCTGGAGTTAGGGTGACATTTAAACCAACCAACCAAACCTCTCGGGGTAAAACTTTTTCGGCTCAAGAATACGTCCGATAGATCCAATTAGGAGAAATAATATCATATACCAAATACCATGTAATGACTGGGAGGTCCATTATATAGGCCAGTCAAACTCGTAGATCGGAGTAAGTTTGATTATTGGAAGATAAAAATTTAGCTAGACCTAGAATAATCCACCTCACCAAGTTGAATAACCCAGAAGAGCTCAGCGACTGCACCGCATACACTTACATTTAATCATAAAATATGGTGGGACAGCCCCGAATTCAAAGAGGAAATTGAGGCAATTCTTGGGTAGAGCGGCGTTTTATAGTCGATTCGTGAAGAACTTCAATGAGATAGCAGCCCCTCTATACAGGCGACTAGGTGAGCCGAAGTTTGTTTGTTCGGAAGAATCGCAGAGGACATTTGACAGAATTAAACACCTGTTCGACCACCAACAAATGACACTAAAGCTACCTGTACCTGGAAGACAGTTTACAGTGTGCACAGATGCCAGTGACTACGCCATAGGTGCGGTCCTAAGACAAGGTGATGGAATCGTTGAGTATGCCAGTCGGGTTTTAACACTCACAGAGAGAAAGTATTCAACGATAGAGAAAGAATGTTTAGCAATGGTATGGGCAGTCGACAAATGGCGACCTTATTTACTCGGCCGGCGGTTCCACATCGAAACTGATCATAAGCCGCTACAATTTTTGAAGACAGCGAGAGACCCACGGGGGAAATTGTCACGGTGGATGTTGCGTCTTCAGGAGTACGATTTTACGATCTCACACGTTCCTGGAAGTGAAAATGTCTTGGCAGATTTGTTATCGAGACCAGAAGACGAGCCTGAGTTGCCCGAGGTCGCTTACGGAGTGCATGCTGTAGAACAAAACCCTCTAAAACTTGCACGCAAGCAAAGGTTGGATGATACGCTGAATACAGTGATACAGGTGATAACCAACGGGATAGAAGTAGATCAAGCTACGGCGAGTAAGGAGCTAACCACACTACTCAGACAGAGAGATCGGCTAAGAGTGAATGCCTGCGGGACTCTGACCTGGCGAGAGAACGACGGAAGCTGGCTGGCTATCATACCTCAGTCCTCGCGCCACGACATGATAGAAGAATGTCACCAGCTAGCACATACAGGCGTGGCCAGATCAACTGACCTCCTAAGGCAAAGCATGTACTGGCCAGGTATGAGAGAAGACGTAGCAAGATACGTACTTGGATGTCCACGGTGCCAGCTAATGAAAGGCAACCGGTGCATACGACCACCGCTTCAGTCGATTCCAGTTACGGCGATAGGTGACTTGTGGTCCGTAGATGTCATGGGTCCATTTCCTCAGACATCTAATGGTAATCAGTACCTCCTGGTGATGACGGAACACGCGACACGATGGGTAGACGCCGTAGCGATCCCAGATCAACGTGCAAAGACCGTGACAGACGCAGTAATTAAACACATCGTTGCAGACCACGGCGTACCAAAGACGATACTGACAGACCAAGGTCCCTGTTTCGAGAGTGAAGAATTTACTTCCCGTTTGCAACAGCTGGGCATCAAGAGGATCAGAACGACCCCATATCATCCACAGACGAATGGCCTAACGGAGAGAAACAACCGTACACTGAAGGAGTGGCTGGCCTCGGAGGGCGGTAACTGGGAAACGGAGCTTCCACTGATTTTACTGACGCATCGGGCTACCACTCAGGAAACAACAAAGAAGTCACCCTTTCAACTGATGTATGGTAGAAAACCACGATTACCGATACACAACGAGACCTGGCCCCTTCACCAAAAGTGGAGTACGACGAAATTAAAAGCAGAGCGGAAAGAGGCCGTCAAGAATGTAATACGGAAGCAGCGGAGTGATGTCGCGAAGTCTCAGATGAAAGAAAAGACGCGGTGCATCACCTTTGCAGTCGGGGACCAAGTGAAGTGTAGAGACAGGAGATATACAGTTGGAGGCGGGCCAGGTTCACGGAAACTCCTGCCAAAGTGGGGAGGACCATACACAATCACAAAAAGACGGGGTCAAGTATATACCGTCCGAAGAGGTGACAAACAGAAACGAGTTAATGCCAGTCAGCTACAACGATGGGTACAGTGGGACAAGCCGATCAGCAACAATCCTCAACTAGAGGATGTAGCACCAAGAAGGTCGGAACGCCTGCGTACGAAGCTATTTGACGGGGGGACGAGTGTGGTGAGAGCAAGCTGCTAGCCAATTGGTAGACATTGATCTACGCTGATTGGTAGAAATTAATCTAGGCTCATTCAACAACCAATCACAGCTGACCTAAACGTGGACAAATATGATTCGCAGACTAGTGGCTCGCATTTCCGAAAAATATCGAAAACGAGAAAGCAGAAGACTGCGTTTGTTTGAAAACAACCAATCAGAAGACCGCCTTCTTTCTGCGGGCAGAAGCCTTATTAATGTACGCAAAATACATATAAATACCTGTTGGTTTTCGTAATAAAACTGATCTGTTGCCAGCCTTGTCTTCTGTTGTTACAGAATAATTAGGTGGAGAGAGAGGTTAGTCACTGAAGCTTTGTAAATCAGTTCAGCACACCGAACATTTGCGAATGGAGTGACGCAACGTCTATCCTGGAGATATGGAGATTGGCAACAGACAACAAAGGGAATTTTGAGAGATAGAAAGAGAAACCGAGTGACTAAACTGATATCATAATGAGTAGCAATAGTTTATGCTGGAAATTTTATCATCCAGTTAATACTGCATCGCTGTGATATAATTTAAATAAACCCATCTAATATGTCGGGATGCCACCGAAAATTATACATCTCATCCAACAGCTGTACGACAGTGCTGCACGCCAAGTAATCCACAACGGGAAACTTACGGAATCCTTCGAAGTGAAGACAGGAGTAAGACAAGCTGGCTGCCTACTATCACCAATGACTTTCCTGACTGCAGTAGACTGGATAATGTGACAAACAGCGGGCAATGAGGAAACAGGCATAAAATGGACTCACACAAAAAACTTGAAGGATCTTGACTTCGCCGATGATATATGTCTGATTTCCCACACACTGGAAGACATGCAAGCAAAAACCAACAAGTTGGCAGAAGAAGCATCCAGAGAAGATAGGAGGGACTTCAGGTGAACATAGAGAAAACAGAGATAATGAAGATTCCTAGGCAACACCACCAACAGCAACAGCAACAGACAACAGTCAGCATAAATGGAAGGAACCTGAAAGAAACAACCTCCTTTACCTACCTGGGAAGCATAGTTTCAACTACATGCGGAACTGACGAGGATATCAAAGCAAGAATCGTGAAAGCAAGGCAAGCTTTCATTACTCTCAAGTCTGTGTGGAGGTCAACAGCACTCAGCATCAAAAATAAGATCCGGATTTTCAACTCCAATGTGAAGTCAGAGACTTGCACTGCGCGTCATAAAGAGCATCTCAAACAAACTACAGACCTTCATCAACAGTTGTCTTCGCTCAACACTCAAGATCGGATGGCCGGCCTGAAAAGATCAGCAACAGGCAGGGATCTCTGGGAGGGAACCAACCTGGCAGGAACCGATTGTGCAACAAATAAGCAGGAAGAAATGGAGATGGATTGGCCATACTCTGAGAAAACCATCAAGTGTCATCACTAGACAAGCCATCGCTCGAGTGGAACCCGAACAGGAAGTGGCGAGTTGGTCGTTAGTGCAAGGGTGAGGGTGACTTGGAGGAGGTGATGTGAAGAGGAGATGAATACGTGTGGACAGACTTTGAGCCAAGTGAAGACTCTAGCAGAGAACAGAACGCAATGGAGACACACGGCTGAAGCCCTCTGTTCCTCTAGGAATTAAAGGAAACAATAATAATAATAGTAATAATAATATGGAATTACATTCTATCACAGTGCCCAAGTTCTACACTTACATTAAAGTTAGCTTACGACTTACAGTAATATTGATGACAATAAATAAATTATAGTAATAATAACGGATTTTTTCTGGACAAAATGTTCACAAAGTGTACAAAATTCTCCTAATAATTTCTTAGATAGTATTTTCTCTTTATCCAGGACCTTCAGGTGAAACAGCAGTCTACAGTATATCATGTGACGCCACGCTGTTTCATATGTGAAGCATAAACTAACTTCCTTTGAAGTTATTCTTTCGTTTCTGACAATTACGAACGAGTGTGTTGAAAGTCAGTGACTAATGTAGCCCAGTGTGACAAGTTCACCACCAAAGTGTTACTAAAGCTTACCTCTAAGTAAATTTGATCGATGTGGGAAAGTATGATGTTTTGTTTATTTTGGTTTATTTTGTGACAGGTAAAGATATGAACTGGACAGGTGTACGATAAGTTGTAGCGTCTTGACTTGTTTCAGCAAAGTTTATCACACGGATGGTTTCTTCATACTCTTCTGGTGATTGATGAACGCAAACAAGCATTGTGACATGCCTACCAAATATTTTAATCGAGCATCACCATAGGGAACAACACGTGTGGGTCCACCAGGGATATTAGAGGTTCCACGATGTTTACCTCTATTTGTTTGCATATCACGTAAAGCTGTGTTACATTTCCATAGATTCATGAGGGAATTGTTAATTTTAGATGCTTCTTCCAGGCGATTTCCTTGTGTTCTAGTATGACTACTTCTTTCCGAACCAGTGAGGTTGACAAGGCACAACTGACTGATGACAATAGACCCTTTATCCTGAACAACCCCGTTATACTTCACATCATAATCAGCTCGAACCAAGTGAATGGTGAAAACACAATGACTTCGTCTGGATTCGACGTTAAAGGCCGTCTGTCCGATCCGACGGCATTTCTGAGCTGATTTAACCTCTACCTCTACTTCTCCGTGAACATACACATTTTTTCTAGAGTCTTCACGCAGTATTCGAGTTGTTAAATTTCTTCCAGGGAGATCCGATACGTCTTGCAACAAATCATAAATATTGTTGTTATAAACTTCAATAACAGACACAAATACAGCAAAGACAGCCTTCACAGGGACGTCTACACATGAAGACTAATAAGTCCTTTCACCCTTGTCTACACATCTCGCTTGAGATCTAAACAATCGTGAAAGCCGTTGTAAGTTAAAGCGGTGACGATCGATAAATGCATCTGCTTCTGAGTGAACAGTATATCCATTCATACCGTCAGGCGTTATCATGCATTTCTTCGTCTGACACTGTCCAATAGAATTAAAGATAACATTCAATGAACGGGGTAAAATTCCAGTATTTTTTAAAGAGCCTTCCACTGAGTAAGTTTTCCCATTTCCAATTGCTCCATACGCAAACAATAAGGCATTTCTCCCCTGGAGAACATCTGCAACAATCGGAAGCCTAACCTTCTGGAATACACTCTCTTGTATAGTGTCAGGGGGTAGGACTAAAGTGAATATATGTATAATCTACGTAGAAGATTAATGGTTCGGATGCAACCATACCTATCTCCTTGTACCGAATCGACTACCCACTGACTTTATAGTTTTCTCGTCACGAAACTCAATGCATGGCGTACCTGCAGAAAGAAAAGTTTTCAGACGCACATTTTAAATATCACGCTCATTAAGTGCAATGGCGAGTCGTACAAATAAACTTACTAACTGCATTTCTAGGTGTATAATGTTCTGTAAATGTCTGCGTTTTGTACATTTTTATGATAAATGTGTCTGCGAAATTGGACGGCATATCCACGTCTTCTTACATTTTAGCATATCGGTGGTGAATATAGACTGGTGTCTCCCATATACACTACACTGAGAAAAGATATTGTTATTATTATTTTTATTATTAGTGACCACAGGAACGGTTTTTACTTCGAGGCGAAATACTTGGAGGTGACGTAATAATACGGGATATGTCTGATGTTTTCTTTGGAAATTTTGGAGTAATACATATATATATATATATATATATATTAAAACAATTAGTTCCCTTTATGAATTTAGACAAAGCAATAAGAAGAAGTAATTTGTCTGAATCGTTTAATGTATTTGCCCTACACATTTCGAGTAGTCTGATCACACACGGAATATATATTAAATTAATGAAGATTTAAGAGGTAAGAAAACAAACTTAGGTCACGTTAAAAAGGACATATTGAAGGTGAAAATAACAATGAAGATCACTTAACCAAATAACAGAGGTAATAGTACATCTACCCTGGCTGGTATCAAAACAAAATTTACCAAGGAAGGTTTAGTGTGATGACGAATTCTTGCTTTGAACGCATATAGGTGGTTTAAACTTCCTAATTGTTATCTGTGGTTTCTACTAACTTTAGCATACACCTTCCCTCAAACACGTTTTATAGATAGGTGTAAACATGTGTTAACGTCAATTTCATGTCCTGTCTCTATAATATGTTTCGCAATAGAGGAGCTAGGTCTACTGTCCTCACCCTTAATGGGTTCAGGGGATTCTGTTAGTTTTTGAAGCCATTTAGGAATACGCTCTGAAGCCGAAATCGATGAGTCCTCCCTATGTATATGTGTCCACACGTACATTCAAATTGGTAAATACAGTGGGATGTGACATCATTTTTCACAGAGCTTAGACAGGTATATTAGCTTGACATTCCCAATTATTATGATATTAGCTACATAAAAGGTCTTTTAAAACAGCAGCGTTCAATCTCTGTCTAGTTATCAAGCTGCTTTGATGTCCTATATAGGGTAGCTTGATGTACACGTCTTTCTTACGGGTGAGTTGTACAGTGGGTCTTGGTGTTCTGACTACTTTATATCTCTTGATGAACTTGTCTGGATAATTGTTATCAACCAGAGTTTGTGTCAACTTTCCTTCTTCTTCATCAAGTGTGTCTTCAGTGTATATTCGTTGGATTCTACTGAAGAGGCACCTTACTAAGGTTCTTTTGTACCGAACAGGGCAGAAACTGTGATAATTAAGATACTGTCCCGTCCAGGTAGGTTTTCTATAAACAGATCGTTTTACTGACGCATCAAGCCGTCAGTCGACTAAGCGATATGTCTAGGAAAGATAAACAATTATCCTCCTCTTCCACTTACGTTAGTGATATGCTATTCTGAACTTCATTCATTCGATTTAAATTTGAGTTGGCGGAACAAGGCTTATCACTTGTGATTATAATGTCATCGACATACGACACAAAGTGTCAGTTGTTTTCAGTAAAGGCATATTAGTGAATAAAGCGTTTACATCAAAAGAGTACATAATCTTATGCATAATACTGACGTCGTCATGAAAATTAACCTCACCGTATTTTTTGGTACAGGTATGGAATTTTCAGGATATGATATCGGTAGCCCAAATTTTGCAGGCCGACCATTGATATCAGGTGTGCGTCGGCAGGGGATCGAACCCCGGACTATGTGCATGGTCAGCGAGGGTCCTTGGTGGTTTCAGTTGGGACATATTATCCAGCCATATATGGACAACCTATTTCTGACCATGTGTTTATCCCGCATATTATGAAGAGAGCTAAACCTCTGGATATTTGAATCATTCTTGCCCTTTTTATTTCCTCCTCTTTTCACTAGAGAGAAGACATGATGAAGAGAAAACAGAACGTGTTAATGAAGCGAAGAAACTCAGTGAATTAATTGAACAAATAAAAATAGACTCTGAAAATGAACTACATCAAAGACGTCAAAATATCGAAACATATCGTGAAGCACTGGAACAACAGATTGCTGATCAACGACTACGATACCAGCAACTTGTAGCTAATAGACAGCGTGAATTTGAAGAACAGAGGCAAGCGGAGGCTGAAATCAATGAGCTTATGGATCAAATAGCCCATTCCAATGAAACTGACTATAATAGGCATCCATGGCAGAAACTTTCTGCAAACAACCATGCAGATATACCAGTGTGGGATGGTAAACTGACAATCTCTAAATTCGCCACTGCAAGATACTGATTAGGCCTAGAAAATCACTGTAAAAATACTTTGTTTTTTTAATATCGTGATTGTTGTTACCAATGGCTGCGAATGCAGAATCATGTTATTTTGTATAGGTGAAGTCATAGAAATGCTTTATTCAAGATATACTGTGAACGAAAAACAAAATAGAATTATTCAAGAATTGTCTCTTTTGCTTAATTGTAACTCTTGCTAAATTTGCGTTAAATTCAAATACAAAGATTTTTTGGAAACCACAGCTTCTCATTTGTAAGCTAAGTAAGAAGTGTCTTCTCTGTGAATACGGGTCAGAAACCTGACCAGCGTGTCACGGAAACGATTTCCAACAAGCTAAAGGCCTTTTTCAACAGCTGCCTTCTCTAGCTCCATTCTGAAGATCAAATGGCTGACCAGAAAGAAGTGATTACAAGGAACTCTGGCTGGCTGAGAGTAAACCAACCAAGAGGTGATCGCTCAACAAATATTTAGGCGAAAATGGACATGGACCGATCGGGCGTACTTTGAGGGAACCGTCGAAGGACGAGTGGGTCGTCGGAGGGTGAAATGGAGTAGATAGTTTGAGGAAGAGCTCACAGATTATGGGCATCATTTCGCCGTTAACAATTTCAAAGACGGCATTCATTATAATTCTGCTCAAGCGTAGAATCTTAACGGAAATTACCTGTACGCTTCTACTTATGTAACGCAAAATCGTAATAGTTTTAAGCTGATATGTTGTTGGCAATAGCAACAATTATTTGTATGCAAAGCAAACTGATAACTTCAGTTACAAACACTGATTTACAATTCGTTGCTGAATCGTATTTGTTAGAAAATTATACAGGTGGTTTTTTCCTTGAATAAAAGCTTACCGTGGTGTTATGTTTCTTCTGTTTGAGCTTTGAAAAAGCGTAGTAAGAGACTGACTTACTTTCAGGTGAATAACACATTTTAAAACACCAACTTTCTTAGTGTGTTTGAAAACTAGTTCTATCATATTTTAATTGATTTGCTACCTATTACGTCAGTAGTGAGTAACTGGGAAGCCTAAAAAACACTAGACCTGAAACAAACCAACCCGTACAACTTAGAAATTTAGATAACTTTCTTAAATTAAATATCATTTAGAGAACCATTGAAAATCAGTTTGCGAATCATCGCCAGTACTCACCCACCACACGGGTTCGAACGCAGGACCTTACGATTACAAGGCCAGCTAGCTCGTATACCATTCAGCCACTGGGACCTGACTCAATGGCCAACCCATGAACTCTAAATTCCACCAATTTGTGGTTTAGCGCGACCACCAACCAATGTCATCGGTGGGAAATCCATCCTCATACTTGACCGGCTGAACCTCACTGGTCACGGTTTCTCACTAGAACTGCAGGAAACTCCGTCCTGTAGCAAGTCACTAGCGAGCATCAGATTAATTTTCTATAGTTGGTTTGTGAGGATTAGATTTGTTTTTACGAGTTTGATCACGGATTGATATCAGTTAGAGAAGCATTGAAAACCAGTACTGGAGTACTGGACAACAATTTTATTATCCCCGTTTGGGAATCGCCGGGAGTACACACCCCCTTTATTCTCAAGGAAATATATTTATTCGTCATTTCCTGATGTTGGACAATTTAGTGTATTCGGAAACACGATTTATTCTGGATAGGAAGCAAAGTTGTGATCTAATATTCATAAAGTCTTTGTATCTTTTACAATTGGATAGCATACAGTGGATATTTTTGTAATCTTCCAACATTTCCAATCTATTTAATGATGCACACTGGTAAGCATGATATATTTTTGTGAGTATAGAAACCAAGTTAAAGGAATCTGTTAGTCACATACGTAGATGGTGATTGGTGCCTTTTGTTGTTGACTGGTCATCTTCACCACCTCGGTCTTCTCTGTCTTCACTTAAAGTTATGTCTTTGATGATTCTTCTGAAAACTTGTTGGATTGTGCTAGTAAGATCTTCGAGTTTATGTGACGTTGGACATAAGCAGTGCATGAAGTCTAGATGTTCTAGACTAATCTCATCGATCCAGCGTATTCCTTTCTTCTCACTCCCCACGGTCCGCTGCATAACCCAGTACACCACAATAAGGAATATCGTCCTGGGTGATAATAGGCAGCCAGCCATGTCTTTCTCCTGTATTCAATTCAAAAACTTCAACGAGTTTTCTGTTGTGGATCACTTGACATGTGGCACTGTCACATGGTTGCTGAATGAGCTTGATAAAGACTCGGAAACTGCACGCCACAGTGTTGAAGAGGTTTTCAAATTACTTCTCGGTCAACGCTGTAGAAGGCCTTTTCGACGTCGGTGAAGTTGAAGTAGGGGTTTAACTCCCATTCTATGCCTTGTTCGATGATAGCAATGATGTGTGGAGCTGCAATTTGATTAATGCATCATTTGCCTCTCCTGAATCCACCTTGTTCCGAGCGGAGCTCTGCATCCAGTGAATCCTTTTTCTCTCCAGGATGACGCGATGTTTTGCTTGGCGTGGATGAGAGCATGATTCTGCTCTGTGAATGACATCATCTACGTTGTTTTGGATGATGGCGTAAGGCATATTGTTACACTGGAGAGAATACATCCATATATAAGTCCAGTTGTAATCTATAACAACAACAGCCACCAAAACTTCCAGTGGACACCGATCGTCCAACATTAGTCGAAGTCTTAAAAGTAACCAAGAAACTAAAGTCTAAGAAAGCAGCAGGACCGGACGATATTCCTCCTGAAGTACTAAAAGCGAACCTGGAGACTGCTGTGGATTTACTCATTCCACCACTGCAAAACGTCTAGTGTCACATAAACTCGAAGACGTACAGGCGGAAACCGACAAGCTGTCAAAAACAGCAGCGAGGACATGATTTCAGCTGAACATAGAGAAGGTGAATGTGATGCAGATAATTAAACAACAAGAAAAAACAGCAGTCACTACCAACGGCAGACGTTTTAAGGAGGTCACCACCTTGGATTGTTTAGACAGCAATGTCTCAACTACTGGCGGAACGAATGAAGACATCAAAGACAGGGTGAGAAAGGAGGGACAGACCTTCGCTAATCTAAAATCGGTTTGGAAATCTACTGCCCTCAAAATTAAGGGAAAGATTTAGATTTCCAAGACTAATGCTTCAGAGATATCATTAGCTCGTAACGAAAAGTATTTCCGACAGGCTGTTGCAGACTTTCATCAGCAGTTGCCTTTGTTCCAGATGGTCAATCAAAAAACATTAGCAATAGGGAGCTCTGGGAATGGACCAACAACCACCTTTGGCTCAATGAATATTTTGAAGAAAGTGGAGATGCGTCAAACACATGCTGAGAAGGTTGTTGGGTGACATCACGAGTTATGCCTTTGGGTGGAACCCGAGTGGGAGATGAAGAGTTTGTTGTGGGTCTGTTGATGACATAGATGAGATCGTATGAGGACGAGGTGAGATCTTCTGTTCAGCACTGTGGCAAGTTGAAAAGGACTGTAGATAATATGATTAGGTGGGGATGTTCGGATGAAGCCCAATGTTCCACTTGGAGTAATCATATTATATATACATAATCCTGTCTTTCTGATAACAGTGTTTTATACAGTAATATTTACTGATGACCACGTTTCGAGCACAACTTATTAATGCTCATAATCATATCGAAGCACTACTAGCACAACTTTCTTGCTTCATTTATATACATGAGTAAAACTGATGATTAGACATTTAAATAAAAATGAATCTAAGATAATGTACATTCAGAAATAATAATATTAGTGTTATCAGTCAAGTACAATCAGATGGGAAATAAGACGAGTGTTTTTATAGTCATAATATGTAACTTGTTAGAATGTTGTGATGTGCTTGAATTGAAATAAAATCTTGAGATTATTTATTATCCTCCTTTGATTTGACGGGCGCTAATAATATCCTCCATATTTCTGGTATTTGCATTGACTCATTTCTGTTGCATGTGTTGTGTGTAGACTCGATGAACCAGGCAGGATTCAGTAATCAACCTCTCTCTATCTCCACCTGCCTATATTACTGCTTAGAATTTTAACCCTCTTCCACCATGTTATTGTGTGGTTGTGCTCTGTTAATGCATGCAGTTCAATCTAGTGCTGAGCTTTCTAAATTACTTCTAACCTTAGCTAAATTCTTATGTTCCGCCAATCTGATTACCCCCGACCTACTAGTTTGACCTATATAGTTGACCTTACTCATAGTCATTGCAGAATATTTTGTAAATTATATTATTTCGTCAAATTGGGTCAACCCACAGGGTCCTTTAACCTACAGAGCTTATCCGTGAGCGCGTTTGTGGGTTTAAATGCCACCCTAATTCCTGCTCTGTTTAGAATCCTACGTAGGGTCTCAGATGTCCCCTCTTTATATGGTATAACGGTAGATGACTTATATTCTCTCTTATTTATGTTATCATTACTAGTTCCACAATAATTTTTTGTTTTTGGCCTTTACTGATCTTCCTAATGAATTTTATACGATAGTTATTCAACACCAACGCTTCTTCTATCTGTTTTATTTGATCAATTAGGTCTTTTTTGTCCTACTTAGTGCTACTGCTCGGTTTGTTAGACACTCAACTACTAAGCCTGCCTTAACAGTTAAAGGATGAGACGAACTAAAGTCTAAATATCTATTAGCAGAATGCGTTGGTATTGCTTTTTATAAACGCTAGTGTGCGGTTTATCTTCTTCTATTCGTTTTGTTTTACAATCTAACATCACTGCTAATTCTCCTTGTTCATTTTCTGATGCAAATGTGAATTTTATTCCCTCCACTAGTGAGTTTATATGTGTCAAGAAGCTAGAGAGAGATGGGTTTTGTTTTTAACACTGTGAAAGTGTCATCCACATATCGCTACGTTTTTAATTATCTAGGCAAGTCATTTACCTTACAAATGGTTTATAGACATTAGCTGAATACTAAGAACACTTACAAACTAAATGCTTATATTTGTAACTAATGTGCATGCAAGTGTTTCAAACACTAGTAATTTGTCCTACTGAAATGAAACTGTTATATCATAAAGTTTAACGTGATTTTTATATTTTCATTCTATGACTTCGTGTTTTTTTAAAAATTATTTTATTAGCCGTAAATTATACGACGTAGATACATCTTTCTGTCTCCAACAGCAAACAATTACACTGAATTTCACGTTCTAAAATTGTGGCTGGCGTAAAAAATTTTCAAATCGTAATTAAATGTATTTAGCCTTGCAATGTGCTTATTTCTATTTTTGATAGAACACTAGTCAGTAACTAGTGTAATGCGTCTAGTCCTATCTTCGGTGCAGACTGAATTCTATCAGTCATGTTTGTAATGTGGCCACCATGCTAGGTGGCTCGCCATTACGGTGCACTGTGAATTGTTGGTATTAGATGGTTGGAGGCAATCGGCAGGAAGCCTTGGACCTAGGTTTCGTGCTAGTTGGCACTCATCAGCAAGGCGTATCTGCAACCTTGAAGGAACTGATGTCCCTTCTGAGATTCGAACCCGCGTCACCCAGTGCTGCAGTCAGAGACGTTACCACTGAGCTATTCAGGCTCGCTTATTTCTATCGTTAAAGCTGAAATCTGACGTGAATCAGGTATGCATGTGCACTAATAATTATTATTATTCCCTTGCGTTTATTACTATTATTGTATCCTTTAATTTCTAGAGGAACATAGGGCTTCAGCAGTGCGTGCGTCTCCATTGAGTTCGGTTCTCTGCTAGAGTCTTCACCTGGCTCCAAGTCTACCCACACGTTTTCATCTCCTCTTCACATCACCTCCTCGAAGTCACTCTTGCACTGACGACCAACTCGCCGCTTCCCTTTCATTTTCCACTCGAGCGATGGCTTGTCTAGTGATGTCACTTGATGGTTTGTTTTCTCAGAGTATGGCCAATCCATCTCCATTTCTTCCTGTATAATTGTTTCACAATCGGTTCCTGGTTGGTTCGCTCATTGCCAGAGATCCCTGTTGCTTATCTTTTCTGGCCGGCCATCCGATCTTGAGTATTGAGCGAAGACAGCTGTTGATGAAGGTCTGTAGTTTGTTTGAGATGCTCTTTATGACGCGCTAGCCAAGTCTCTGATCCGAATAGTAGCACTGACTTCACATTGGAGTTGAAAATCCGGATCTTATTTTTCATGCTGAGTGTTGTTGACCTCCACACAGACTTGAGAGTAGTGAAAGCTTGTCTTGCTTTTCCGATTCTTGCTTTGATATCCTCGTCAGTTCCGTCTGGTTGTAGTTGAAACGATGCTTCCCAGGTAGGTAAACGAGGTTGTTTCTTTCAGGTTCCTCCCATTTATGCTGATTGTTGTCTTTTGTTGTTGTTGTTGCTGTTGGTGGTGTGGGACATAGGACACCAAAAAAACATCTTTATTTTGCACTATTTGCTGCCACCTTCCTCAGATGGGTCCACGGTTGCCCAAACTCTCTCATCTCTCCTTCACACGATCTTCTCCATGTCATCCTCGCATAGATAACCCACTTGTCGCATGTCATTTGAATTCCACTCAAGCGATGGCCTGCATTGCGCTCGAAGTCATTCGATAGAATCCACAAAATATACCCGATGCATCTCCATTTTTCCCATAAATCTGTTAAGTGATCGGCTCTTGCCTGTTGGTTTGTTCTCAGCCAGAGTTTCTTTCTGCTAATTCCTTCTGGCCGGCCAGCTGGCCATTTGATCCTTTGTCTGGAGCTAGCGAAGTTGGCAGCCGTTGACAAAAGCCTGCAACCTGTTGGAAATCCTTTTTATGGCACGCCAACATTTAATGCTTATATTTATTTAGAAAACATCAAGTTAACAGTCTCGATGTAACTCTCTGAGTTCGGCAGAAAGGACTTAACTTCTTTGCGACTGTAAAAATACTGGGACAAAAGGTCATTGAAGAGTAGATTTCAGTAAGTTATTATTAAACATGTGTATCCCATTTTCTGTTTTTATATTTTCTTCTGTTCTTTGATGAGGTGAGTAAATACAATGGTCACAGAAGGATGGGTATATTTAGTTAGTTTTTAGTTGTCTTAGGTATTAATGGTGAAATCCGATGAAACGAAAACATTCTTATAAAGAGACCGGACAAGATGGATGAGGTCGTATTATTAGACAGAGATGACAACACATATAAGATGAATAAGGATTCTACTGGGGACTGCAAAATTCCAAAGACTACCTAACGCAAGGATGATGCAGATAAAGTGGAAAAGGAATTTTATAGGATACTGAAAGCTTTGCTATCCAGTTATATAGTGTTTCCCCGAATTCTTGAAAATCTAAGTGCTTTAAGAACAACTATACCCAGATTGTTTATTATTATTATTCCCTTGGGTTCCTAGTGGAACATAGGGCTTCAACTACACGTCTCCACTTGTTTCTGTCTTCTGATGTACTTTTCACCTGCATCCATGTTATTCCATACTGTTTCAACTCCTCTTCACACGATCGCCTCCATGTCACCCACACTTGGACGTCCCACTACTCGCCCCTTCCCTTTCGGGTTCCACTCGAGTGATGGCTTGACACGCGATGTCACCCAGCGGCCTCCTCAGCGAGTGTCCAATCCACCTCCACTTTTTCCTGCATATTTGTTGGGCGATTGGTTCTTGTTTTGTTTCTTCCCATAGTTTCTTGTTGGTGATTCTTTCCGGCCATCTGATCTTCAGTATAGAGCCAGCGAAGACAGTTGTTGATAAAGGTCTGCAACAGGCTGTTGGAAATATTCTTTGTGACCCACTGGCCAAGTTTCTGATCCATCCGTATAGAAGAACTGACTTGACTTGACGTTTGTATTGAAAATCCGAATCACTTTGTTGTTGATGCAGGCTGAGTGATGAAGATTTCCAGATTGGTTTCAGGTTGATGAATGTGTTTCCAGCCTTCTCGATTCTTGATTTGACATCCTTGTCCGTTCCTCCTGTAGTTGAGACAATGCTCCCTAGATGAGTGAATGAAGCAACCTATTTCAAATCCCAGATTGTTTAAGCTACCTAGAATTCATAAGCCGATGAGATCAATATTAGAGATTTACAACTCAACACATCATGAAACAAATAGACGGACAACAGACAGACGTCAACTTCTGAAGTTAAAAGTGAGGTCTGGTGGACACTCACGAATTTCTTTAAAAGGTGAGGGATAAGAAGATTAACAATGAAACAGTGACCTATTTGGATGTCACTTCCTGTTTATTTATATCCTTTTATTGGAGACTATTGACTTCATCCGTGAATCTATGATTGAAAATCATATAGAAGTAGGTATACCACCTGAAACATTATGGGGACTGCCATTCGGTTGTACGATGAATGTGTAATTTCATTTTAACAACGAAATATATCGTCAGGTGGTGGGTGGAGCAATGCACTCCCGCCTCCTGCTGATGTTTATGGTAAAATTAGAGAATCATCCAGTGAAAGATGTAATCAACTAGCTCTCATTGATACCGAGGTGCTTTTGAAAACGTTCAATTTGGTTCACCCACAAATTGAGTGTAGGGGACTGTCTAGAGCAAGCTCATTAACATAACAAAATATGCGAATAAAAATTCAAGTCAGTAAGAGTACAATGCAACAATATATTATCAAAAATGCAG